ACACACACACACACACACACACACACACACACACACACACACACACACACACGAGCATGCATTCAGACGAGCATCTGCTTTCACAAACAATGACTTATTGAACAACTCCAAAGAAGACTTGTAAGGCTTGATTGGCTTAATTATAACACACAAACAATGGAAAAAGGAGAATGAAAAAAGGCATCTGGGGCAAAAATCCCAGAATGGAGAGGTTAAGGGTGAACTCAGTGATGCAGAAAAACCCTGAGAGATTACAAATCTCGACATAGCAGCACCTCTAATACCACCATCTTCACCCGAATAGAACACCTACTCATTATCGCTGTTACCTAGACTGAAAGTTGCCCCAAATACAGCTACACTGACCAGGCGTTGTATTCGGGTGAAGACGGTATCATTAACTAAATATCTCCCTCTATCATTACCAGAAGTCTGCACAATCATCAACTCTTGCACTCACCTGACTGCCAATCCAACAGCAGCAACAACGGGTTCTCGAGCTTTTTGCAAGGAATATGAGTGTGAGCAATATACATAAAACCAAGTTGCGAAATCACACAGCTGAGTAAGTAGTCGTGTCCCAAGCAGAGAGTACAAATGCACCGAGAAAACCATCCATATAGAGCAATACAATGAAGAAATGAGCCAATGTCCAAACCCGTAGGCCACACCAACACAGAATCCAAAGTCGCTCTCTCCTGTCTGGCGCTCGGCGCCCAGCCTACTCTACCTGACTAGCCTACCTACAGCCGGTTCACGCAACAGGACCACTTCGACTCTAGAAGACCAATGTACATGACTGCCAACACCATCGCCGACCTCTCTTCATGTACCAGGTACGTATCTCATCACCCTCAATCAGACCTTGATTACCCCACACAATGCCTCCTTCCTTGAAGACCACCCGATCATCCGCTGTACCCCCTGGCGCCCAGCAGCCCGGCTATGGCTGCCAGCGCCTCGCTGCCCTGCAGCACCCCACCTCACCTCTCGCGCCCCGTCAGCGCCCTTGGCAGCAGCGCAGCATCAAGCGAGAGCGCAGCAGCACTTCCGCATTGCCAGCGCTGGCCAGAATGCCTGGCCTGGGCTGCTCTCTTCCTTTTGTGGAAGTGGCAGCCTCCTGGATGCTGCATGCAGCCTGGCTGGAAGCTTCCAGTAGCTTCCGGTTGGGTCCCAGACCCTGCGCCCAGGCCCGAGACTACAGTTGAGGGCCTGGGCCCTTTGCAGTTAGGCACGGCCTGAGTCTCCGGACTTGGGTTGTTTGCTGCATCTGCGCAGAGCTCCCAGGCAGGTGCGGTGGCACTTCTGCTTTTGCAAAGGCCGAAGGCCTGCTTCGCAATGTATTGGCCCTGCCTTTGTGTATGTGTGCCCAGGCACAACTGTCAAGGCCTGGGCCAACTGTATGATGCAGCAATGTGAGGCTCATGCGTCTTCCCAACCAACTGGCGTGCTGCGAGAGCCTGAATACCCACATATGAAAATGTCGAATTATGCTTTTGACGAATATTCAGGCCCGCCTTCACTTAGGGCGGGCACTTGACTTGCTGGGGGCCTTAGCCCAGAACAATGTGATGTCTGATAGGGCCCCTTGAGGGCTTGTTCCTCACATTCCATCCCCCTTAGCTTCGAAAGTCCGCTGAGATGCTTCATGCTGGTGCCTTCCCCTTCAGTTTCTTCTCATAATCTGCCACGATCTGAGGAGCTGTCTTGACAAGTTCCTCCCTCGCAATCCATCGATCTTCCTTCGGATCCGTATGATGCCTGAAATGTACTCTGTATTCCCTTGCAGGTTTGGGAGGTCTTCCCCTGCCAGGTGGCTTTGGAACAGGCGTGTCTCTGTGACCCAGGATATCGTCGACGTCCACGTGGCCATCCATGGTTGGGGGCAGCATAGATCTCCGTGATGAGAACTGTGCTGCCTCAGCAAAAGGTGCAAGCTTGGAGGCGTGAAAAACAGGGTAAGTGTGCAAGTGACCAGGGATACGAATGACGTACGAGGGACCATCCAAATCATTCCCCACAATGTCCAGGACTTCCCAGGGACAGAAATAGTGAGGCATTAGTTTCCTAGAGATGCCAAACTCCTGTCCCAACTCACTAGCCTTGACCCAGACACGTTCCCCTACCTGAAATGTGGACTGTCGGTGACACTTGTTCTCAGAAGCAATCATGACTTCTTGAGATTTCTTGATGTGTTCGACAGTCTGCTGCAACAGTTTCTCATACTGGACACCAAATTCAATGGTTCCAAGAGTTGCAGCGGTTCGGTTTTCAGGCAGGAGGAAGTCTAGAGCAGATCTAGGCTTCCACCCCAGATGCAGTTGATTAGGACTGATGCCGGTGGTGCTGTGTACAGCGTTGTTGTACAGGCTGGCGATGAGAGGTAATTTCTCATCCCAGGCATCCTGGCTGGGCTTGATGTAATGCCTCAGCAGATGCTGCACCACTCGGTTCATCTGTTCAGTCTGGCAACACTATTTCTATTTTTAGATTACTCTTGAACAGTTTACATGCAGCATAGAATAAACTAAACCATCTGCAGCTGTCTGTTAGTTGTCAGACAAGTCCGTAACAACTAAATAATCAAAAATTAAAAATAAGCTACCTGCGTCCTCCGGGACATCCGTTAAAATTGGAACGATACAGAGAAGATTAGCATGGCCCCTGCGCAAGGATGACACGCATAAATCGAGAAATGGTCCAAATAAATAAATAAATAAAAAAAAAAAAGGCTACCTGCTGAGATGCACGTTGGATGGCAGTTTATCTAATTAGTGCCACCGCGAACAGTTACCGGAATTCCCCCCTCCGCCTGTATCCTTCTTGAGTAGTCACTTTGTGTCAACGCCCTGAGCAGCGTGTCTGAAGGTGTGCAATCCGGCCCACCCCTGTGCCCCAAGTCTATGCCGAACCTGCCAGGCTCTGCACGTTGTTTACCCTCGCATGCAACAAGCCTTACTTCCGGTTTGATGTGGCTGATCAAGAGGCAGTTTAAGGACAGCCCCCAAGGTCCTCAGGAATTATTTAACGTCGCAGACAGGACGACGATCACAACCAGGGTTCAACACCGGAACCCGCCAGAAATATTTATAGACGGTCTGGTGAGCGTCTCTCAAAGGGCTGGCATGCCCTGCATGACCTCTATTGCGCAGCAGCAGAGGACTTTCGGCAAAGCATGCGTGTACTAGTCCCAGCGAGTTGGCATGGTGACCGTGACCCGAGTGCTTCGTTCAGGGCCCTTCAGAGGCTTCGCCCGTCTCCCACCAGCTTGCTGCCCAGGAAGAATGTCGACTCTCAAGGTTGAGCGCTTGCGACACCTCACATTGAGAGGACTCTCAAGACAGAACTCACTTCCTCACGGTAAGAAGTATTGAAGAGGGTAGATAAGGAAGAGAGCAACGTACCTCATAATGCTGCCCCCAACCACAGATTCCTCACCGGCAACCTGACGTGCATTTATGATGACCGGTCTCTGCCTCGGCACAACAAACAGCAGAATGCAGTTCCACCTCGGCTTAAATGCCACATCAGCGAGCTCTCATCATCCAGCGTACACCCCTAATGTCACCACATAGCTTCCTGGCGCGCCCACACGACCCTGGGCCACCAATCGTTCAACGCCCAAGCCTTATCACTGCCCCACACCTCAGGCGAAGCACCGAACAGCCATTGCGAAGAACCAATGAAGGGCAGTTCAAACCAGCTCCGATACCGAATTGCAAGGAAAATGAGCAATAGCGAGATGACAATATCCAGAATGCACAATCACATTGAAAGCCAGAGAGTATCACAGTGTCCAGAAAGCAGAATTGCACCAATATAACACCAATCAAGAATCGTAACACTGAAAACCAATGCCAATGAGAGCTTGCCCTCGCCACCACCAACATGAGTGTCCAGGTCCTTCTCCCTACTTGGCGCTCGGCGCCCAGCCTACTTCCTAAACAGCTACTGTCTGCCTACTAATTGACAATGCAACTGTTGACGTCAGCAGCCCACGAAGTACTTGAAGATGTCGCCCAATGCAGACCATCGCCAATACCAGGGTATGTGCCCTCACATCATCATCATCATCATCCTTCTCTCTCTCCCCTGACTTACACCCACATCTTCCCTCTGTACACCCGAAGACCACCCCTGCGCCTCAATGTAATCCAAGCCCATCCAGCTATGGAGGCTGGGCTATGGCACTGCCCTCAGCAGCACCCTGCTTCTTGCACGACCGCACGCGCGCAGCACCTTGCCCTTAGCGCTAAGCAGCCTGCGAGCAATCGCTCCAGCAGCGCTGCCGCGGCATCTGGCAAGTGCCTGAATGAGAGCCCAGGCAGCGAGCTCTTTCCTATATGGAAAGAGCCTGGCTGCTTCGGCGGCCTGACTGGCCTGGGCCTTTGCCCAGAAGCTTCCGGTAGGCCCCAGGAGGCTGTGCCTCCGCTACAGCTGCTGGGCCTCGTTTGGTTGGGCCTCCCAACTGTCTGTGTACGAGGCTGCGATTCTTGCCCAGGGCCTGCATTTCCGGAAAGGCCTGGAACGCCATGGAATGTCTTTGCTGCTCGGCCTGTGTTTCCCTCAACCAACTGGCGCGTCACAACTGCCTGGACCCCAAATACGAAATTGACAGCAGAGGGCCTCTTGCAATTTGTTAGGCCCGCCTTCACTTTAGGGCGGGCACTTCTCTAACAGGGCCCCTTAGGCCTGCCAAGGACCCAAATCCTCGCATATATATATATATAGGCAGAGAGAGAGAAGAGGACAACAAACGAGGGGCTGTGACAAACTGTTTCGTCAGAGTTTCACCGACTCATCAGGAGGCTGAACCCTCAACAGTCTGCAGAATCCCCTCACTGATTACACTGTAAATGATAATATATATATATATATCTTCCCAAACAGAACTGCCCGGTAAACCGCAGGCAGAGAGAGAGA